GAAGAATTAAGTCTGGGACTTGATGAGTCTTCTATATGAATGTGCTAGACCACTAAAAACAAAAGAATTTTCAACAACAAGCAGGATGGGATGTTCATGTGATGTAGGGCACACTTGATAGCGAAAGAGTACACCCAAATAGTAGGATGAGCTACTAAACTAGGCGTTTTCTCTGGTGGTGAGAATTAACTCTATTCGCCTGGTACTAACTCTTATAGCACAGGTGGACCTTGAACTAGTCCTTATGGACATTGAGATACCTTTTACTATTATAGAACAACAAAAAGATGATCTCTGTGGATCTACCTATGTTTCATAGCCAAGGGACTTGAGCACAAGGTATACAAGTTGAAGGATCATACCTATGGCTTGAAACATTTTTTCTAGTGTGTAGTATTTTTAATCCTCTTGGACGATGATGGGTCGTAGTTTCTAGACGATTGATTTGGATGATTAGGTCCACCTATACTAAGCTGATATAAGTTTGAGAACCTGTCATCATATGTAGATGGGAAATTGCTGATTAGATATAGCATGGAGACTAGTGGGACTCCAATTGCTAATAGTCATGCCAAGTATAGAGCAATGTCCTAACATGAAATCAGAAAAGAAGCTAATACTAAAGAATCTCTTGCGAGGATTATAGTCGATAGTCTTATAAGTAGGCAGTGATTGGTCTAACCCTAGTATAACTCACTATGATGAGTCAAGAGGATCATCAAATATTTCATTCATACTGTACTTTGTGAATTACACTATGATAGCACATGCCGACATCCTGGATGGGCAAGCGTTAATGCCTGGTTATGCTTCCTTACTAAACAACGGGTTCATTTCTAAGAGTAGTAAGTAGCAGTAGTATATAGGCCCTTTCCCATTACAGTGGAATATGTGGTGCCATATACAATGGATGCAGTCTAGTTGTGCAAATTCGTAGAGAATTTGACTATAGTGTGACATGTAGATAATGATGTGATTCTCAATTGTGATAGCATGTCGGCTACTAGTTATACAATATGCCCAAATTAATTTAGGAAATCGAATAAAATCTAGATCAGGTACTGTTGATGGCTGATATCAAACAGTCAATAAGAGAAGTGATATGGTTGACATAGGTCCTCTAACCTTTCGAATGTTCGGTTCTGAGGTGGGCTGTTCTTCCCTACATAGGTAGCAAATCGTAAAAGGGCGGAGTTGGCTCCAATTGTTCCTCCGACGATCAAGTCAGTAATTTGATCGAGTAGAGAAGTAATTAAACTATAGAAGTTCTTAAGCATAATGGGTAAAGATAAAGATCTTACCTTATTGTTAAATATAGTACCCTTATTTATAGCGCTAGTAACGGGTAGAAGGGTAACTTTGACTGAGTATGGGTTGGCGGCTAAGTTGGCATCTGCTTTACAGGTGTCAGCCGACGAGTGGAGGGGATGTCACTTCCACAGTTAATGTGAAGTGACTAGGGGCATGCGGTGCCGATGTACTCTGATGTGTCATAAAGACTACTGAGGACAGAGAAATGATGACGCTAATCATGCATTTAATAGAATTTATTATGAGGTGATTGGCTGTCAGTGCGTGAGAAGGGGCTCAAGTCTCAAGGTAGTCGTCGCCTTTCCACTCATCTGGTAGAAGGTCGAGAGGTCGGTCGAGTAGGTTGGTCAAGAAGTTGGCCTAGCCAGGGGTCACTGTAATGCCTTTTGAGTCTCCCTTGCGAGATATCGGCGTGTCGAGTCGTTCGAGCTAGGTCTTTAATTATCTTGCAATGAAGATCTGGCTTGATTACGCATAATGTGGGATACTTATCTGCTATCAATTGGATATTACTTTTTAGCACTGAAACAACTCTAATAGATACCATTTCTTTAAAACCTAAGAGAAGGGCGAACTAATTGTATCTATATTAGTCAATTGATCGGGGATTTACAAACAAAGAGAATAGCTTAGGAGTAGCTGGTGTAGCACATTTGAGCCTTATGGGCTTCGTCTTTAATGACGATTTTTACTTGAGACCTCAAAAACTTAGGTTATTACGGATGATAGCTTTATAAAACATTACGTTTAATTTGATTATCTTTTTTGTCTATATAGCTTATATCTTATTATTGCTTGATTATCATGACATGGAGTTTATGAGTATTATGATTTGTACAAGGATACACAAAGAACACTGGATGCACTATTACCAAGTTACATCGACAAGTAAGAGGTCTTATCACACAAGAGATCTCATTCATAGTTGTGGTAGTTGCCGAAGCTGAGACTGAGTGTCGAATGTCATTTATCTTGGAGCAAGGGCTACAATATCATGTTACTGGGTAGGACGATAGTGGGAGCACTTTATTGGTTACCCTAACTAGGTCAGGATGAGGTTGTTATATACTTATATGTTATCATGTTACTGGGTAGGACGATAGTGGGAGCACTTTATTGGTTACCCTAACTAGGTCAGGATGAGGTTGTTATATACTTATATGTTGAAGCGACCAAATTGAAAATCCTATGTTCACTTTACCTGTTTATTTATCAGCTAGACTAGGTGTCTGACTTGGCGCACAAGGTGCGAGATTGTCGAGAGATCCCAAACATATCATCGGGTGATATAGTTGGAAAAGTTCATTTCAGGGTAATGGAACTTGGGTCATTTAATGAAGTATGCACTCGGGGAGGGAAAAAAATACCATAGCATATTACTGTACGATGTGTGCTTGGACCTGATATAAAGAGGTTGAGGGATGGATACCTGCTCCTTCACTGTGAGAGCTCTTATAGGTGACTAGTAGTTATGGAGGGTAGTCACCGTACCCTTAGAGATGTTGGGCTGTTTGGAAAGACTGTTATGAGCATCCACTATTTTGGCTGTTGTTTCTTGCTGCGATGAGACAATACCGCACATACAAGAGTAGTGCCAGGAAAGCAGGTGATAAATACGCTCAACTATTCATGGTCAGAGAAAGATCGATTGACATGTCTCTTGGTTGCATCATATGTGTAATTATTATTTATGCAAGGGGCAAGGTTTTATGAGTGCTATGAATCAAGGGCTTACCCGGGTGCTCATGTATGCTTCTTCGAAGGATCGAAGGTACTTTAGCAGACATGGTTGATCAGATATGGGTAATAGATAATGCATACTTGCACTTTATTTGCATATTTTGTTTCATTAGGGAGATCCTTGTGTCGAACCTAATGTATCTGGCTGCAATGCTACCTGCTTGTAGGTTCTCAACTGTCCATGCCGCACTAACAATGTATGGACGTAGTATTGATAAGGAAGGAGAATCTCAGGGAGATTTTGACTTGAGAAATCAACGACTCAGGGAGCCTGCTTAGGGAGCAAAAGATGACACCCACTCGTTTGTCTGAGTTGGAGCATGTTAGTAATTAGTGGGTCTACCCAATTAAGTGGATGTAATTCTAAGTGGGCTCAAACCGGTTCTTAATTCTATATGGTAAGGATTTTATTCTCTACTCTATGTATATGCACTTATGTAGTGATTTAAAAATAATGAGACAGAGAGAAAAAAACACATACTACTATCATCTCCTTCTGCTTCAATAGTCCTATGATTTATACGTTAGTCGCAAGGTGATATGCGGGCGTTTCTCATCGTATCAGTGTGGTCGCCTTCCGGCCATTGTTCAAAAATCAAAAGTAGATGTATACCAATCCTTCCGAAAGAATCGCGAAAGATAATATTTAAACAAGAGTTATTTTAGTGTATTGTTTACAATGCACCTCATGCTAACCCCGAATTCATTATAAAAATTGTTAATCAAACAATACATTTAATAAAATATTTTTGATTATAATTTTGTTGGTCGCCTTATTAAAAAAGAAAATTGTGGGTCACTATTTTTCTATATGAAGTTACTAGATCCTCACCAAATACAAGGAGATCTAAGTTCATGAAGTTTGTTCATTGCATTTCTAAAACCTAGTATTATCAATCGCCAAATTTACGATATGGTTTTTGCATATAAGTATTTATAAAAAATTCAACTATAAATTTTTTACTTCTATTTATAGAGTTCATCTCCACACTAGTTAATAAAATAATATACCAATTAGCAAGTTTTATCAATTTTCTATATAAGAACCAAAACTGATTTATGTATGTGAAACATTTGATAAATGTTCAAATCATCATCTACAAGGAGGGGAAAAAAACCAGAAGTGTTTTCAAGGTTCAAAATCTTACTTTAGCTTCAACAGTGGATGAAGGAGCAAAAATTTGTGCCAATAGTGTTATTAAATTTCAAAATTTTAGTGTAGCATGAACCCTCAAGTTGTCCTATTGCTTGAATCCTGAAGTATATTGTAGTATGCATAATATCTACTCTGGCATGAATAGTGAACTTAAGGATTTGCATTGAAGTTAAAAGTAGAAGAAGAGCAATAAATTTTAATTCAAAAGTCATTTCATTAAAAACTCGTTTTCCATGGTAATAGGTAATACTGTTTAATATATATTATATTTGCTTATATATTAAATTTGATGCTTGTAAAATAATAAGGGCATGTTTGACAAGTGGCTTATTTCCGCTTATATGCCACCAAAAAGTAAGTTAGGTTATTTTAGGTGGCTTATTTTTATTAGGCTTATTTTTTGGTGCCATATAATCCACAAGGTTTGACCAAAAGTCCAAAATACCCAACACTTCAAAAAATTTCAAGCGCCATTTATATCCCTCCAACCCCATTAAATTCTTTTGTTTGGGTATTTTAGCAATGCTGGTTGTTGATAAGCCACTCATTTGCCAAACACTTTACTATTAAAATTGGATTATAATCCACTGAATTTACCAAATACTTTGGCTTATAATCCACTTGCTTATAATATATTTCTAGATTATAAGCCAAGTGAATTATATTACAAAGTAGCCAAAACCTAATTCATATGCTTCATCTCATTCCAAGTCCAGAGAGTTAATGATTAGAATAAAAAACATTGCTTTGCCACTGCATGCTAACATATCAATTTTACAAACAGAAACTCTTCTCTGGTTAAAAGCCGCTCCGAAACCAACATAAGCTGTCAATTAATATAAATCTCACTCCTTTGAAGGAGTTAAAAATCAACTGTAGGTCCAAATTATGAAGAATATACTAGGTACTAATGATTTGTAACCTTACGACACCAAATAATAGATAGACACAGCGTTCTTCCAAAGTAATCAATGTAGGATTCAAATACAATTCTAAACTCCTACGTAAACTAAGGACTCATAATACGCTGCTATGATACCCACAATCTCAACATTTTGCAAAGAAAGGATACTATGCATTGTTGAGAAAACCCACTAAGGACATTTTTTATGGTGAACTTTCTCAAAAAATCTTGTCTTCAGCTGGTGTTATCAGAAATCGTCTATGCTCTATGTTAGTATCTCCACAATCTACAAACAAATGATAATGTTTCTTCAAGCAAGCAAGCAAGCATATGCTTTAATGAATGATTACGGCGTGATACATAACAGAATCGTTTCACTTTCTCATCTGCCTTTTTCCTAAGTCTGCAGGATGAAACTATATATCACTGCTGTGTATAAACTTTTGTCATACGTTCATCTCAAAAATGAATTCCTCAAACTTGGGCAGCAAGGAGTTCATTCCAGGTATCTGGAATACCCGGAAGGCACCAATGCAAGCAATCATACATCCCCGGTTGGGGTCGAATACTAAACTTTGATACATGACCCTCACTCCTTAACTGCGACAAGGCAGTGATGTCCAAAAGCTTAACCTTAGATCCCTTCACGGCATCCTCAGTAGCTGGATCCGAAGAACTATTTTGATTCACGTCGCTCCCCCCAACCAATGGAATAGTGTTATCACAACTACCCCCAGTATTCCAATCCCCATTTTCAAAATGCCTAGGGGACATTGTCCTAAAGAAAACTTTTAGCCTAGGATATTGTGGAAGTCGTGAGTCTAGCCATTTTACAACGCTGTGAATAGTCAGATTTTTTGCATTCCCAATCCCTGCAATTTTTTTATCAGCGTTAGGCGTTCCATTAACGTACATCACCCATCGGTTAGCAGTAAGCTTCCCTCTGTTCCAATGATGTCCAGTGTTGAGGACCAGAACATCAAACCTGGGGAGATTCTGCTGTAAGAATTGAACTGGGCGATCAAGATGCATAGCAACATTAGTAGCAGGGTCCATCTTATTGATGGGCTCCAATGCACAAAGGCTTGCTGACCAATAGTATAGAATGGTAGTGTTGGTTTTTGGGAATCGGTAAGCCCACCCATCAGGTCTTTTGGCGCCCCGTGGAATTACAAGGCCATATTGCTTACCGATATCTTCTACTTCAGGAGATTCTCTTCCACCTGTGACCATACACATCATAGATTGAAACTGCTGCCTTCCTAAAGAGTCGCCAATAAATGCTATTGTTTTGTGCTTCATCCTGGAGAAAGCCAGCCAAGTAGGTTTAACTTTGGGGAATACTGATTTATAATAAGCAGTTGGAGGAAAAATAATGGCTAAAGTTACCTTCTCAAGAACTTGGAGCCGTGAAAATCTGGCATCTCACAATCTTTCGGCTGCCATCGATAGTGCTCATAGGCAAAATCTGTGCGGTGATTAAGCCTGCAAGCCCACATCCCTGACAACCATTGCCTACAACCCGAACCTGAATATAATGGCCTCTTGCTGTCTGCAACCCATTTTCCCTTCGCGTAATCACAATCTACAAGATTGATGGATTATAAGTTTTTAAGTAACTGGAACTAGAAAAACACTAGAAACTGAGGTAAACTTAAAGGCGCCCGACTTCTGATTGCAACTCGTATATTAGACAAATCATATTAAGGCGATTAGGAGAAATAATGAGCTAAATTACTGTAAAAAAGCAATAACACTTTATGACTTTTGCTCCCTTGCAATGCATAAAATGACAAACTCCAATTGGTAGTTATATTATTTTTTGTAAAATAACAAGTATAAATCTAAAACAATTTACACAAATATAAAAGAGAGTCTTCACTATGCATTAAGCAGGCATAATCCATAAGTAAACAGATCCAAACATATACTGGCCTGATGGTTAATATGTTGGATATTTTTAAAGAAAAGGCAATTTTGCCTTAATGAATTCTAATAAATTTTTGTAATTAAAATATGCAATTAAAATATGTTTTAATGTGTTTTAATTTGTAATTAAAATGGGCATAATGACTATACATTATGACGAACGTTACGAAATTTATTGAGGGATTTTGTAACGGCTCTTTTCAACCCCTATATAAACAACATATGTTGAGCTCAAGAAACATATGGAAAAATGTGAAAAACTTATCTTGTTTTCTTTTCTCCTCTACATATCATTTTCATCTATACTTTAGTTTTACTTTATGGGCAACTTCTTCATCTGAGCTGAAGCTCTGCACTCTCGCCCGAGTGCAGAGGCCGGGCCGTTTCCGGGGGTTTTTACCGCTAGGGGAGAAGGGATCATCTGCGCCAGGGCGATAGGCGGGTCCTCAATCTTCTAGGGCAGTGTTTACACGACTGCTCCCGTCAGGCCTGTTTCTCTAATTTATATTATCTATCTTTGATGTATTATTTATTTAATTTCCGGGTTTAAATTCATGCTATAATCTTTATTTATTTGATAAATTTCCAACATAATATCTACTATGAATATGAACAAGAACAATGTACATAACACCAAGGTTTTGAATATAGGATATCGGGCCGATATTGGATGGCCAAAATCCATATCGAGAATATGATGTAAATATTGGAGTGACATATCAGAAGATGTGCATATATAATTTATAATGTCCTAAAATGTAATATAATTATACTATATCGGGGAAATGTCACCAAATACATAGGAAAAATCATGACACATTGCCCAAATATTACCAACAGCGGTATACTATTTTGCGATAAGCCATATAAAAGGACATATTGACCAACATATTGTCTAATACATAGGCAATATAGGGGATATATTGCACAAAAATTGCCAAAATGCGCTAAAGGGTATTGAGACTATATCATTTAGCAGCAAGCCTCATTAAAGGATGTATCTGTTGGGTATCTACTCAAACTCCAAGTTAGGATAGAGTTTTTAATTCTTTGAATAACTTCATGAGAATTAGATAAGGTTAGGGATCTATCATGATTAGGAGTTTGGGTTCCATCGTGATTGGGAGTTTGAATCTTATTCTAGTTAGGAAGTTAGGCTAGAGATAGGGTTTTGGTTTCTCTATATATATTCTTCTATTGTTAGAGGAAAAAGAAGGAGAATAAGAAGAAGTGTAGAGAGAAAGAGTGAGAGAGGGTTTGGCAGTCTTTGTCCGTACATAAAATTATAATTTGAAGGTGATAGTGGATTGATTTTGATCCCGTGGTTTTTCCCTGTTGAGGGTTTTCCACGATAATTTGAAGGTGATAGTGGATTGATTTTGATCCCGTGGTTTTTCCCTGTTGAGGGTTTTCCACGTTAAATCTTGTGTGATTTTATGTTTTTCCCTGTTGAGGGTTTTCCACGTTAAATCTTGTGTGATTTTATTTGCTGCGTTTGGTGGTTTTTTTAGGGTTTTTTGCGAGATCTAAAAATCTCTACAAGTGGTATCAGAGCGGGGTTCGACAGTTCGTGGAGCTTCGAGATTTGCAACGACATTTGGCGACAATGGTACTGTAGCAACAACACTATTCACCACGGTATTGTAGCGGAGGAACTGTTCATGGTGACGTACTGTTCACAGTACTGTAGAGATGGTGTTGTAGCTGCAACAGATCCGACGGTTGAGGTTTATTTGTCTTTTGATCGATGATTTGGAGGCGGATTTCGGTGATCCAGGAGTCGTTCCTAGGTTTTTTCGACGTGCTGAGTTCGTTTTTGACGTCGGTTTTATCAAATTCAATCTCTACAGGGACTGTTTTGAATTTTGATCGTGCTTAGAGGATGACTTCTTCTTCGGGTCCGATGTTTGATATTCCGCTATTCAATGGCAAGACAAATTTTGCAGTATGACAGTGCACGGTTCAAGATATTCTTGTGCAGCAAGGTGTTGATCAAGCTTTGGAGGAAAAGAAACCTGAAGAATGTTCAATGGAGTTCCATACAAAAGAGGACGGTTAGCACAATTCGTTTGACACTTGCCCCCGAGATCAAATACAATGTTATGTAAGAGACCACTACGGAGGCTGTGGGAAAGGCTCGAGGGGATTTATGTGTCAAAGTCGATGACCAACCGATTGTGTTTAAGGATGAAGCTTTATTCGTTAAAGATGGAAGAAGGTACTGCAATTCAAGATCACATGATTCACATCAATGCCTTTAATCAGCTAGTTTGCCAACTTATGAATATTGATGAGGAGATTAAAGAAGAAGAGCAGGCGCTACTCTTATTGTCTTCCTTGCTGAAGTCGTACAAGCCGTTAGTTCAGACGATAATTGCAGGAAAGCAGACTTTGAAGTTTGACGATGTGACAACACTCCTACGTGAGAATAAAAGAATAATGGGAAAGAAGAGCGCATCTAATGATGGTGAGAGTGCACTAGCTTTTAAAGGTTCTAATCGAGGAAAGAGTACGGGGAGATGTGACAGTTATCAAGGAAGGTCAAAATCTCGGGCCCGAGACGACAGCGAAAAGGAGTGCTATTATTGCGGAGAGAAGGGTCACATACAGTTCAAATGTTCCCAGATGCGTAATGATTTGAAGAGTATTAGACAGATGAAGCTTCAAGAAAATGAAAAGAAGACGGGCTCCTCAGTGGTTATGTGATGAAGATGTGGTTTTATTGATGCAGAGTACAGATACTGATGCGAGTAACACTTGGGTGTTAGACTCTGCAACCTCTATGCACGTTTGAAACAACAAAAATTATTTTAACACATTAAAGACAGATGAAGAATTTAACGACGTGATTGTTGAAAACAACGAGAAGATGAGGGTTGAAGGTGTTGGAAGTGTTCGCCTCAAGCTTCACACTGAAAAGGTCGAAATTCTTCATCATGTGAGATATGTGCCGACATGTGGTGCTAATTTAATTTCGTTGGGTGAGATGGGAATTTGGGTTCCATCATGATTGGGAGTTTGAATTTTATTCTAATTAGGAAGTTAGGCTAGAGATAGAGTTTTGGTTTCTTTTTATATATCCTTCTATTGTTAGAAAAAAAAAGAAGGAGAAGAAGAAGAAGTGTAGAGAGAAAGAGTGAGAGAGGATTTCGCAGTCTTTGTCCGTGCAAAAGATTGTAATTTGAAGGTGATAGTGGATTGATTTTGATCCCGTGGTTTTAGTCTTTGTCCGTGCAAAAGATTGTAATTTGAAGGTGATAGTGGATTGATTTTGATCCCGTGGTTTTTCCCTGTTGAGGGTTTTCCACGTTAACCCGTGGTTTTTCCCTGTTGAGGGTTTTCCACGTTAAATCTTGTGTGATTTTATTTGCTGCGTTTGGTGGATTTTTTAGGGGTTTTTACGAGATCTTCTATAATATCGGCTTATATATTGACCATGTCAAGCATATTTAAAACAATGGATGCTGACCTTTATTTGAAGAAACCATTTTTACGTTCTCTCCGTCTTTTCTTTCTCCAGCTGAGCTTTTTGCACTGCCTCCTGCAGGTGAAATACTAGGTGTATCAGCTGAAGAATTGTCTTCTTTTGCTGGCTCTGATGGGATTCCCTTTATGGATAGTTTCGATGGGACTTCCTCTTTTGGTGGATTTGATTTGACTCCCACGAGGAGTGGATTCTGCCTTGTAAAGTTATTCACAGGAGTAGTTTTGACAGAATTCACTGTATTAAAACAATAAAAACAGAAAGAAAACAAAAAATTAGAACATGGCAAAACAAACTGTGAAAATCAAAAGAATAAAAAGCAAGGACAACAAAGCAAGAGGAAAAACCTGGAGAAAGCACGCTGGAGCTCATCTCAAACTGTTCTACCTGTTGGAAATAAGTAGTCAAGTGTGGTGTTTTTTCCCATGCCCAAACAGCAAGTGTCAAGCAAATTAGAGCAGTGAGGCTGAGAGAGAGGTTTCTGACTCTCAATTTATATGGGCTCCCCCCTTTCATACCCTTCATAGGTAAGAGGAGCAACCAATTTTAACCCCTAAAACATAACTTCAATATCTCTCCCCTTGAAAATTCAGTTTACACTCTGCACAGGTTTCTGAGAATTACAGAAAAGAACATCATATCAAATAAACAATGAAGCATTTGACAAAATTCATCAAATATCATTAAGTTACGAAAAGTAATCCAAACTAATGACAAAAGGAAATTAGTAAGGCCTATAAAACTGTGAATTATTATAAACTTCAACAACACCTAACAAGTGGATATATTACCTGTATTTCTACATAAGAGAAAATTAAAATAATTTTTTCCACATTGATCCTAGATATTTTTCATATTCCAGATCGATGCCTTAATCTTAATAGATACGATTGACACCTCACCATTTAAGCTTGAGATAAAACCAAGCAATGTTAGTTTCTCTATTTACCGATTAATATTGCAGAATTTGGATAAAACCCCGTTAAATAACAAATAAATACTCCCAGGACATCCTAAAACATAAACTGGTAAACATATAAAATAATAGAACGTGGGTTTTTGATAGAACTGAAATGATTCGAGGTGTAAATCTATAAACATAAAGAGTTCACAAGTTAATACAGAAACAACAAGATTTCATGATCAATATGAAAAATACGCAAGAAAAATAGATGAAAAGAAAACCATTATAAAACAAAGGTCCTGCCGATGTCGGTTCAGCTAACGAAGCAAACATATCCTAAGTTCTAACAAATACACTGGTAAATGTGTAAACTAATAATACATTGGTAACTAATAGAAGGCAGGTTTAGCATCCAACCTGAGTGATTAGAGGCGACAATTTATAAATATAAAGACTTCATAAGCTGATATGGAAATATACATAATTGTGTGGTCGATATGAAAAAAATGCAAGAAAAATAGCTGGAAAGATAACCGGTAAGTGATGGAGGTCCCCAGTTGAGACCAAGGTCATGTATTCTCAAGGATGAACAATCGGGTGCCTAGGATGAGGCACAAGGTTTCCCATGTGTCAAGTATGTTGTGAAATAAAGCCCTATAAAGTATGTTGTTAAATAGTGCAATTATATAAGCTTTGTTCATGGTTATTCCAGAGGCCCCCCAAAATTGATGTTAACCGACCCTAGACCACTATATAAATGGTCAATAGGCCGTAACAGGAACTGTTAGAGATAATAAGCTCATGTCATGATATAATCTAGACACGGGAAAAGAAGATATGATTTGCTTCATGTAATCAAATACAAAATTTTAATTTAGGGAAATAAGTTCATTGCAAGGATAACCAAACAACAAAAGGAATCACATTTCTCTTATCAGCAAGTCAATTAGAGTTTACTACACAACTCTATTTACTACAACTACAGATATTGAAACTTTGTAGCCATGGAGTGAATATTTACGAAGAAGGGTAATGTCAGTGACTCAGTATTATGGAATTACGAGCAATAAAATATATGAGTGAGAGTGATCAATGGCTCATTCAATTGCTCTGAGTGAGTATAATGCACTTAGCAACCAGCTAGGTACAGCTTACATCAGTAATTCAGGTCCAACTAGTGTTAACTGGCACCTAAAGGAGTGCAATGACCACATATTTTTACAACTATTGAAGCCAAAACCCCTGTGCACAAAGATTAATAGGACCTTCTATCCCAACCTGAGCTATTCCATATTAACCAACCAAAGCAAGCTGGAGATATTAGTGGAAAATCCACAGAAAAATAATTACTCCAGGATATTCTGATCAAGAAGCCAATCAGCTGGAATTTTGCACTCTCCAGGAATATGTTGCAAATACATAAAGTTAAACAGTAACATGGAAAGCAGACACTGTGAAAGTCCTTGAAATTCCAAGGATGCATTGAATTGTGCAGATAGAATGACTGCATGTACGACATATTATCCATAAAGTGCAAATAAAAGTTCTATATGACATTGTTCAGTATAAGAACCCTAATAAGGCATATCCAGGAAGAAAGGGATCCATATTGTCATCTTATGAGTAAAACTCTTTACTCTTACAAACATTTAAATGGCATATAGTCTATTTATTGTTCTGCTGCACAGATCAAAAAATCTGCCATAAAATTGTTCCAAAAGTAAAACAATACAGGCATTCAACCATCAATACAGGATAAAATTCAGTTCTTAGCATCAACATTGAAGACCTGTGTTATAAGGATACCGGCGCCGCACACCTATACGAGGCAATACACGGACAAACAATGCATGCTAAAATTACATGCAAAATAGCAGTATTGGGTTCAATATGTGTGTCTAACATAAGTGTCTGATACGTGAACGAGCAATATGGATTCATGTTTGAAGTGTCTGTGCTAGTTGGCTGACAGAAGATTGGAAGTTTGTTTGTCTCTTCCATGACAGTCCTTATAAACTGGAACATCCAAGCCTTTACTCAACAATCTTGTAGTTCATTTACCCAGCGAAAGGGGAACCAGAAGTGAACAGAGTAAACGATTTCCTTACAAGCCAAGTACCTACATCCTGTTTATTCCTCTATTACATAGACTGCTACTACACTTCAATTCAGTTACCTGATTACATAACCAGTAAATGCTGGGAAAATAACATTAACCATTATATCTGATCCACTAAGACCGCTCAGTATCCTAGCTAGCAAATTTGTATGGTAAGCTGAACAAGTTCTCACTTCCACACAAAGTGTAACAACTCACCTCCTCATTACCAACTAATCATCTGTATTCACTTCTTTGGTTAGTGCAATTTTCTAACCACCCCTACCCCTCATGTTTCTTTCTATCAATTTTTCAATCTTAATTAGTAAATTGTAACAGCTCTAGTCTGCTTCTATTTCCTTTCCACTCCCCCTAAATATTTACGCATCCCGTAGCAAAGTGGTCTAATGGTATAATACTGCATTTATTCTTTGTGCATCTTGGTGAAGCCTCGACTTATTCATTACTGTGAATCCAGTCATCATCCTTGAAAACAAAATATTTTTCTGGTGTAATAAGCATATTGTATTGAACATGGTACGCGATTTTCCCTACGTACGCACTGTTTATGTAAACCGCTAGAAACTGCACCTTATGCTGTTGAAAACCGAGTGCAACATAATTATCTACCTCCTATTCAATCTGGGTATGGCTGAACAGACTTCTACTTGCACCAAACGAAGGTTGTGAGATTCTCATAGACTGATCCTTAAGATGCTAAGATATTGGCTTATACAGCCGAAACTTTATAAACTTGTCTTATTTCTTGTAATTGAACTAGTTGTCTTGACCGAGATAAAGAAGTAACCTCCAGAACCTTGGCGTGTCGGACCTAACAAATCTTTTAATTATGAAAATTGTCAATCAGCACAGAAACATTCAATAAAAAAGATGGGGTCTAACTCTAGAATAAACGTATCCCAAATGAAAATTCAAAAACTAGGTAGCATGCATGTACCAAGTGAATTAAACCAGGCATCCTTACGTTGCACCAGATCACAATTCCCCTGATCTTGAAATAGAGGTTTAATTCACGTAACCCAATTAAAAACTCCCAAAATCTATATCCATATAAAGAAAGATGTCATGTGTCCAACATAGTTCACTTAGAAAAATAAAAAAAAACTACAAAAAAGGAAATCTTTTAACTGTAATATTTAAACACAATTATATCATCTAAGAGGCAACAGAATAATAAATCTCCCTGCTACCTCCATACGTTCAAACTTCTCGATAATTTGAATCCGTAACCCTAATCGTAATCAGATTAGACACAAAAAAAAAAGAGATCTGGTAACCAAATTCGAGCTAGAATTCAATGGAAACCAACTCACCGATGCAATCACGTTCCTTTAACCGAAATTTTCCACCAAAAACCGAATCACGTCGATGATCGCCGGAAAATATGATGAAAGAGAACAGAAAAGAA